CGGAAGGCTGTTTACATGTTTCAGCCTTGTATGCTTTTTGAGTAAAATTCCATCTGATTTGGTTGCCTCATTCTAAAATTAGTGTTTGTACTCAAGAGGAGATGATTATCTTCCTGCAAGAATATGTATCATTCCCCTGTGCATTAAACTACTACTATTGTTACTACTACTACTGCTACTACAACAATTATTATTATTATTATGGGGTTTGTGCAGCTGTTCTCGATATCATTATGAGCTGGAAAGCAAGGCTGAACATGTCTTTACATGTAAAGCTAAGATATATACTGAAGGTTGTTTCTGCAACGGTCTGGGTGATTGTGTTGCCGGTAACATATGCTTATAGCTGGAAAAATCCTTCAGGATTTGCGCAGGCCATTAAAAACTGGTTTGGCAATGGTGACGGTTCACCTTCGTTGTTCATCATAGCAGTTTTAATTTACCTGTCTCCTAACATGCTCTCCGCATTGTTATTTTTGTTCCCATTTATCCGACGGTCCCTTGAAAGGTCGGATTACAAAATTGTGAGGTTCATGATGTGGTGGTCCCAGGTTTGTGAGCATCTTTGTCAAATAATTAGTTTCTGGTTTGAATAATTGTCAGAATTTCTTATGATCTTGTGATCAGCTTGTTTTTCTTCTCACACTGACATTATGATTTCGCTTGCTGCAGCCTCGGCTTTATGTTGGGAGGGGCATGCAAGAGAGCTCCTTCTCTGTTTTTAAGTAATATGTTACATTAATTTTCATATAGATTCACTTTGATTAGATATTTACATTTCCCATAAATTAGTTTTGATGGTTTTGTTTTCCAGATACACTTTATTCTGGGTCCTCCTATTGGCAGCAAAGTTGGCATTTAGTTACTATGTTGAGGTGCATTCTCAATTATGTTTTAATTTCAACAGATTATACCTGCCAAGATAGGTTTTGTTTTTTACATTTCATTTCTTCTTGAGCTTTTCAACAGACTGAAATAGTGAAATTTAAATACATTCATGTGATCCTTGTTTTGTCAGCTAACTCGTCTAGTAATTTCTCCTGAAAAGTGGATATGGGAAAAGATGCTTAAATCAAATTTTGACTATTCTAATGAAAATATACTTCTAATTCCACCCTATTTATCATTGATCTTTTTATGAACACTTAAAGATTTACATCGAGCGTAACAGTATATTTCTATTCTCTATCGGACCTTATGATGATTTACATGACGTCGAATCTATTTTCCTTCTTTCGAATGCATAAAATAAGCCATCAAATTCATACAATTGCCACGTAGGAAAAGATAATCATGTAAACCATACAATATCTAGAAATGTGTTTTATGTCAAATATGTAAAACTAAATTAAAACTAAAGATTAAAAACTCATATCACAGGGTTCATCATTCTCTTAGTACAAAGAATTCTAGCGTAGCATGTTATGAAGAAGAGAACAAAAGAAATATTGAGGAATTGACATCACCAAAAATGAATCTTGAATTGAATCTTCGAGTCTTGAAATCGATTTTCGTGTTTGGTGGCTCCTTCTATGCTCTTAAAATGTGTTTCCTCTTGTTTCTGGATGGCCCTTGGTCTTAAAAGATTTCCCTAATATTTTTTTCCACAAGAGTTTGATTCAAATAAGGAAACTAGAAATTTTCCTCCGAAAATATACTATGCTATTGTAGTACCTTCGCATGCTTTAGCATAGTTCAATCAATTTCAGCTCCAAAAGACCCTGCATCACTCCCTCTCTCCTGCAACAAAACTTTGATTCAGAAAATAGAAAAGAAGCAAAAACCAGCACTGATAAAACTTTAAATCTTTATGCATATTAACATTGCTATTCTGGAGACAACAATTATGCTACAGGTTTGACCATGGGAAATAAATCCCTTGTTTGCAACTGGCGCTGATCATTTTGAGTCTTTATAATGTTTACTAATCAGTTTTTAAACTAAAAGACCAGTTTTTGAACTAAAATATTGCGACTTAAGACTTCTTAGTCTTCTACCGTTTGTTTTGCTTTTTGATCGACAATCTTGGACTTGGACGTTCAGTTTCTGAAACCATTGAGTTAGCAATGTGACTATTTTCTTTTCATTTTCTTGTCCTCTTCCTTTTTGGTTTATATGGGGCATTGGAGGTGCTACAATGGTGCTGACTCTAAATTCAGATCCATTTGTTCCCTCTCGTTTCACAATTATGGTTGTCATTTTTAATCCTAGTTTAGGATCTTGAGATTTTTTTTTCTGACTTGCAAAATAGGAATTTGATTCAATTTATTGGTTGCAGATAAAGCCTCTTGTAGGTCCTACAAAAGAAATTATGAATGTTCATATATCAAATTACCAATGGCACGAGTTCTTTCCTCGAGGTGGTTATATATGTGATTTTGATTTTATGCTTGCGTTAATGGATTACAAAGTCCTACAAACAAGATATATCATGTGTATTTTCTTTTTTGTTTTCAGCAAGAAACAACATTGGAGTAGTGATTGCTCTTTGGGCCCCTGTGATCATTGTATGTTCGCATTTTCTTGTGGTGATTAACTTTGCACCTCTGTTGGGCTTATTTATTTACGTTTATTCGATGATTACCTCTAGGTCTATTTCATGGACACTCAGATTTGGTACGCTATTTTCTCCACAATATTTGGAGGTATATATGGAGCATTTCGTCGTCTTGGAGAGGTTTGTTGAGGATTTGATATTCCGTTATTAGTGTCCTATTCTTTTTCTGTGATATACACCCATGGCGAAAAGAAATTCCCTGTTTACTTGTATAATTAGCTCCTTGAATCTTATTGAACCAGTTATTGTAAAAAAAAAAAAAAAAAAAAAAAAAAAAAAAAATTTAAGTTGCTTTTAAGCAAACCCAAGCATGCTCTACTTCTGCTGCTCTACTGTTCAGCATGCTTGCTTTTTCTTGTAGTTTTACACAGTTTCCCTGTCCTTGAGGTTTCATTTCTCTCCCACACGTTTTCTTCTCAGAATGTGACAAATTAATCTAAAATCATGTGGTGATAGAAATGATTCAAATGATTCTTCACAAGGTGAAAATTCTTCATTTAATGTTTGTAACCTTTCTTTGTTCACCTATTGGAAAGCATATGATTTTGGTGGTCATTTCTTCTCTATAATTCTTTTTGCGAATTGCATTTGATGTAATAATTTTTTTCATGTTCGTTTTGGTGATTTACTACTGAGATCCTGCCCTACGGTGTTTCCCTAACATTTAAATAGAATCTTCATACTTAATGGATGTCTAGACTACAAATTATCTTCCTTCTGGGGTAAAGATTCAGGTTCATCCTTATGTTCAAAACCTGCATTTTTTAATGAGCAGTTTTTCAAATGCCTTCGAATGATTTCATGGGAATTTAATTTGCACCTAGGCTTGGAAGGCCACTGAAATGATTCAGAACGTACCGTCACATTGTTTCATTATCCAATGCATTACTTCCAACACCTTATTCTACCATAACATTGGTTTTGTTGTGAGGACGGTTTCTTTTTTTATTTTTTTACCCTTTTTTTTTTTTTTAGCAGAAACATTTGTTTGCATTGCTGCTTTCAGCTTTTGGTTCTGTTTTGTAGTTCAAACAGTGATCCGGAGTTAAAGACATGAAATATTCTCAGGATGCTTGCTCCATTGAATTTAAATTACAGTTTCAGCTGTTCTTCATATTAAGATTTGCTGTGCTGAGTGCTCTTTGATATATTGACAAGTTTTTTTCCTGTGAACGTTCACTTTTTAGTTCTTAGCTGTCATTCAGATTTAGCTGAAGACTTTTAACTGTAATAAATGGCATTAAAGCATGCATGATTATGGACAAGATAACTGTAATAAACGGCATTAAAGCATGCTTACATATGAACAAGATGAAATTTCTCAACTTTGTTGAGGTAATATTCCATAAGCATGATCCAGAAGCTTCAACTTCTTGATGTATTTGATTACTGATAAAGTGCTGGGCACTGTTGGTTGTGTTTTTGGATGAAAATCGCTAAAGTCTCTAAACAAGCTTCCTTGTTTTTTCATAAAGCATCTGATTTTTTCTATTTATCTGATAATATAAGCCATGTATCTTAGTCTCATGTAGAGAAGGCGGTGTTACGCTCATTTCTAAAGTTGATTCTGCATTGATTGGTGCTCTTCAGCTGATGAAGTTCATGTTCTCTTCTGCCTTCAGATTAGGACATTGGGAATGCTCAGGTCTCGGTTTCAATCATTACCAGGTGCTTTAAGTGACTGCCTGATCCCAGCAGATAAAGATAAAGAGCCTAAGAAGGGACTGAAGGCTACATTCTCCCGCAAATTTGCCGCGGTAAATAATGATTCATATATAGTCAGCTCACTATATCATGCCCATTTATTCATGTTCTTGTTTCCTTTTATTGGTTTTTAAAGAGGTATGATACCGTCTGTGAATTTATGGTTTTTGCAGATCCAATCTAATAAAGACGAGGAAGCAGCTAGGTTTGCTCAGATGTGGAACAAAATAATCGAAAGTTTTAGAGAGGAGGATCTGATAAATTTTAGGTAAAGTGAAGCTGCCAACGCAAGGGAGTAATATTGTTAGAACTCAGAAGCATTGTTATTTCTCAAAGACATCTTTTTTTCCTCTCATTTTCATGTCTATTTTCAGAAATGCTTCTATTAACATCTTTCTTCAAGTTAACTGTTATTTTTCTCTGGTTATGGTTGTGGATGTACCATAACAGGGAAATGAACCTGCTACTTGTGCCATATCATGCTGACCCTGAGTTGGACCTTATCCAGTGGCCTCCCTTTTTACTAGCTAACAAGGTAGGATTGTTGTACTGCTTCATTTTGTGAAATTTTTAGAACAAACATTTATATCTATCACTGCTTTAGTGTAATCTATCACTGGTCTACCATATAGCTTCCTGTAGCTTTGGACATGGCTAAAGATAGCACTGGGAGAGCTCGTGAGCTGAATAAAAGATTGAATTCTGATATATATATGCGCTGTGCCATTCGCGAGTGCTATGCTTCATGTAAAAACATCATTAACACTTTGGTTTTGGGAGACCGTGAGAAGCGGTGAGTCCATTGAATACGAGTAGAACTCAAAATTATTTTGTGCATGTATAAAGTTCTTACTAAAAACTCATTCTTCATGATTGATAATTTTCAGCATTATTGATGAAATTTTTTCCAAAGTTGATCATCACATAGAGCAGGGTGATCTGATACAAGAATTTAATATGAGCAATCTTCCTAGCCTCTATGACAACTTTGTGCAGCTCATAGAGTATCTGGTAAACTTTTTCATTATCATATTATTGATTTTACTTCCCCTTAGGATTGAGGTAGGCTGGGGTCTGATAGCATTGAAATCCTGCAGAAAGAAAATAAGCTGGATGACAAGGATCAAATAGTAATTGTCTTGCTCAACATGCTAGAGATTGTAATCAGGGACATAATGGACGACACTGTTCCTAGGTAATGACTTGCAGATTATTATCAGACCAACGAAAATTGTCTGTTAATATGGATATACTTTGCTTCTTATTTTTCTACTATAGCTTGCTAGATTCCAGTCATGGTGGGTCCTATGGAATGCATCAGGGGATGACTCCTCTTGATCAACAAGTTCAGTACTTTGGGACGCTAAAGTTTCCAATTACAGAAGATACGGACGCATGGAAAGAGAAAGTAAGTCTTACGTCTTGATTTGTAGCATTTGGGAAGAGATTTTCTTGTGTTGCAAGGTTTTTAATTTAGCATACTGAACTCAGATTCATAATAACAAGGGGCGGGGGGGGGGGTGGGTGGGTAGCACAAGCATATGAACTGTGTAGACCTATTGATTATTGTTGTACAATCTGGGCACATGATTTCTTAGAGTGACAGAAAATAAAAAAGAGGGGGGGGGGGGGGGGGGTGGGTGGGTAGCACAAGCATATGAACTGTGTAGACCTATTGATTATTGTTGTACAATCTGGGCACATGATTTCTTGTGATCTATGATCTGTGATTATAAAAGTGCTACTTGTGTGGTCAGATTGGACGGATTCATTTACTGCTTACAGTGAAGGAGTCGGCCATGGACGTGCCATCCAATTTAGAAGCCAGGAGGCGCATTTCATTCTTCTCAAATTCGTTGTTTATGGACATGCCTGCTGCTCCTAAAGTTCGCAATATGCTGTCCTTCTCGTAAGTATCTTCAGATCAAGGCATTTATTTATGAACTTCAGATGTTCCTTTATGTCATAGAACAATGAAATGGCACTTTTTCATTTCGTTCCCCTTTTTTCTTTCGGTATTTTAGCTTCATAGACAGTGAATTAATTTGGGAAAGGACAAAACCCATTGGTTCTGTATGGCGTTCTTTATAAAGTTAGTTGCATACGCTGTTAATAAATATTGTTTGTCTTTACAGTCCACGAATATAGTTTGAAAACATGAGGCTTCTGTGTTTACCTTCAAGAATATCAGTTGCTGTTTCCTGAGGAAAACAACCAGTTTATTCAATTTCTTTATGTAAAAACTCCTCAGCTGGTGAATTGATATATTGCAGGATCTTTATCTTTAAGAACAATTTATTGGTTGATAATGTTACTATGCAGAAAATTTTGTTCTCTCTTCTTTTTTCCACCTGATTTCAAATCATAAGAGTGGAATGACAATCATTTTGCATATGACAGCCTTTGATGTTTTCAGGAAGATAGTGTTATTATTTTCTTATTGGCGAACCACTTGAAATGAATTGTTCCATATAGAGACTACCTATTGCATTATGCCAGTTCTTTTGGAAAAGTGCATTTTATTCTTGGAAACCAAATGTTTTTAGGATGTACTGGTGTTTAGTATGGGGATACTGATATAATTGGGGATGATATTTTGCCATTTGTGCTCATGTAATTCTGCTTAACTTTTACCTGATAAAATACATTTTTAATTTTGCATTTATAGCATCTTAACTCCATACTACGATGAGGAAGTTCTCTTCTCCATTAATTTGCTGGATAAGCCAAACGAAGATGGTGTTTCCATACTTTTTTATTTGCAAAAAATCTTCCCAGGTATGCTTATATTGGCTGTAGATTATTGTCACATACATAGGCATGATTTAATACTTCTAGGGTGAGCCGATTATTAAATTATACAGATGAATGGGAGAATTTTCTGGAACGCGTTGGTTGCAGAAGCGAAGAAGATCTTAAGTCAGACCCAAGACTAGAAGAAGAACTTCGTCTGTGGGCATCATACAGAGGCCAGACATTGACCAAAACTGGTATCCCGTACTTTATGCTTGCTTGTATTTTCTTACATCCATTTTCATTAAATTGACTTGTGCTCTTGAAATGTCCTCAATCGCTGTGCCAAAACAGTACGAGGAATGATGTACTATAGGCAAGCTTTGGAACTTCAGGCTTTTCTTGATATGGCAAAGTGGGAAGGTGATAGAAGAACTGTTTCCTTGTAGTGCCTTCTCCATCTACTATAATTGAGAGAACAGTCATGTATATTGGTTTATTCTTCTTCGATACAGATTTAATGAAAGGTTATAAGGCTGCTGAATTGAATACTGAGGAAGACAGAAATGAAAGGTCACTAATGGCACAATGTCAAGCAGTGGCGGACATGAAGTTCACATATGTGGTGTCATGCCAACAGTATGGGATTCAAAAAAGATCTGGTGATTATCGTGCCACAGACATTTTGAGACTCATGACAAAGTAAGTATGGGGGAATGGCAATTTCCAATTGATCAATTGGTTTAGTATTCAGTTGGTAAGTGCATTGTCTTAAATTGGTGGGCAGGTATCCTTCTGTGCGTGTAGCTTACATTGATGAGCTTGAAGAAACGAGTAAGGATGGAATTGATAAGAAGGTTGAGAAGGTTTATTATTCAGCCCTTGTGAAGGCTGTACCAAAATCTGTTGACTCCTCTGATCCAGATCAAAAGTTGGACCAGGTACAAGTCCTTGATGTAGTATGGTTGCTGGAGTATTATCACATAATATTTTAAGGGGTCATATACTGAAATCAGAAAGGACGGAAACAAGAAAGTTAATGTGCAAATCTGCTTTTCGATTTTGGGTTAAATATGCACCACGATATTTTAATATATAGAAAATGATACCACCAGTACATTTCTGTTAATATCACACCCTTGCTCCATTTCTACGATTAAGTACTTTGGTATTAATTCTATGAGATTCTTCAATCTTGTGTTTTTATTTTATTTAAGAAAATGTAGTAGTTCTATAATTTATTCATCAATTGGTTTGATATTAACATGAAGCATAAGCTGGTCTTTGTTGCGTATTCACAATGCCGTCCCAAATCATTCCACTAATTTGTCACAATTATTGGAAGTTTTAACCCTTTTTTAGAAACTGTAACAAGTGTTGAAATTTCTTCTCAGGTTATTTATCGTATAAAGCTTCCAGGGCCGGCCATGTTAGGTGAGGGCAAACCAGAAAACCAAAACCATGCCATAATCTTCACACGTGGGGAAGGCTTGCAAACAATAGATATGAACCAGGTATTTATCCGGACGGGTTGAACAAATAATATACCCATGTCTTTTGACTTGTGCCTAATTAATACATATTCGATGTGCAGGACAACTACATGGAAGAAGCCTTCAAAATGAGGAACTTGTTGCAAGAGTTTCTTAAGACACATGGTGTGAGGAAGCCAACAATTCTTGGACTTAGAGAGCACATATTTACTGGCAGGTATGGCAATTCAGGTTCCTAAGGATCGGACATCTACTAATTTTATTCTGTTTACTAACTTCCATTGATTGCTAACTTATGGTATTATTTCTTTCTAGTGTCTCTTCACTTGCTTGGTTCATGTCAAATCAGGAGACTAGTTTTGTTACAATTGGACAAAGATTGCTGGCCAATCCATTGAAGTAAGTATGTGAAGGAGATCGAGATTGATGTTGGCTTTGGTGATCTCTTACAACTTAGATTTCAAAAATTGCATCCCTTAATTCTTTCTTGAGCCATTAATTTTCTAACTGACGTGTTTTTTCTTTCTTCATTTTTTTTAATCAGTTATTTTAAGTTGATTATGGAAGATACCATGCGATAATTGTCATTTCGATTGTGTTGCATCTTTGTTTTCCCTGTAGTTGGATGGTTAACCAAAAAACTGAAACTGCTGTCTCTCTATTTCCTTCCAATTTCCCCCTTTTTTCCATTATTTACATCGTTGTTTTCATTCTTTATTTCATTTTTTCTCAAATACGAATGCCCTTTTATTGTGCTTTTGGATTAAGTTCTTTTAGTTTGCCCTCCTATAGAAATCCAATTATTATGGTGGGGCATGACCTGCTATTTTCATTATTAGGTTGGCTATTCCTGTATAAACATTTACCTCCGTTGAAAATTTTGTTATTTTCATGAGAAGCATAGTGTTGAATGTTTACTCAATTTTACCCTTTTTACTTGTCTGCTACTATCATTCAGCAGACCTTTTGGTTGCTCGATCTTGCAAACTTGTGATTCTAAAGGTATTTAACTTGCCTTCCTTATTGACTATGTGGTTTTCTTTATCATCCCTCCTTTTCTCTTCCTTTAAAACCACTAATTTATGAGTAGTTAAGACAAATAAATTTTTTGTTATTTTCATGATAAGCATAGTGTTGAATGTTTACTCAATTTGACCCTTTTTACTCGTCTGATACTATCATTCAGCAGACCTTTTAGTTGCTCGATCTTGTAAACTTTGTCAATGAGATTGGAAAAGATTACGGAAATCATCAAATATTCCGGCTATATTATAATTATATTGTACCATATATAGTTATATTGCTTTTACCATATTTAATTTGATTTGGTTCTATTTAATGAGAGAATCTCTCACATTGAGAGGCATCGAGTATTATTTAGTTTATTTGACATGATATCAAAGCTTATTCGTTAGAATTTTCTTTTATAGATTTGGTTTTCTCAAGGCAGGAGGAGCAACATGATATCAAAGCTTATTCATTAGAATTTTCTTTTATAGATTTGGTTTTCTCAAGGTCCTCCCGTCCAATCTTCTTGATATTTCAATAACTTTCTTGATCTTGGCAACCGAAAATATATGGTTATGTCTTCCATGAATTTCTGTTTTTCGCCTTCTTTTATTAGTGGAAACATCAAGCTACTGGTGATCGATTTATTCTGTCCCTAAGGTCATTGTTGAAATACAAGACCCTGCTTCACGTCACTCTCTCAATTTCCTTCCAATCTGTTGACACTCTCGAACCCTCTTCGGAAACGCGATCAATTTTGTTAGGGCAATTGGTGACTTGCAAACACTTTCAGATGGACGTTGCAGGTTTCGCGGGTTGGCGACAATAGATGGTGGACGGCGACGGCTTTAGGAGATAAAAGCGGGAGGATTGTAGAGATTGAATGACTTTGTGACGTGGGTGTGTCGGAGTATGTGTAGATAGAGATGGAGCCTGCATTAGCGACCAGTGGTGGTTGTTGGAGTGGTAGAGATGGTGGCGGATTTGTGAGTTAGTAGCTGTGGTTGGAGGTTGGGTCTTCGTCGTGGCAGGCTGATTTCGACCGTCTTGAGTTAAGACTTCACAGTGTCGGCTGAACGGGAGAATGGAGGTGGTGATCTTCCTTGTTTTGGGCCTCAATTTTTTGGTGGATCTTTGAAGTGGAACACAGGTGGCGTTTTAAATTGATTTTGTTGGGCTTTTGGAGTTTGGGTCAATAATATCAAGTTTTGGGCTTATTTCAGTTGGGCTATTAGTATTATTTCTCTTGGGCTTTAGTCTTCAGATTCATTTTTGCTAAATTTCTTCTAGTGGGCTAATTATTTCAGTTTTCTCCGTCTTCGTTATTTTTAATGAATGGGTTAGATTTTGGTCTTTTGGGCTTAGATCTGTGAAAAGTGTATTAGGCTTAGAGAGATGGATTAGTTTAGGGTTTGGGTTGATATGAAGTGATAATGGGCTTGAGGTTAAAGGCTAAATATGGTTTGGTGTGCTGAAATTTTTTATTTAGGCTAAAGAACAATATAATTGAGTTTAAGTTGGGGCTCTTAATTTCTTAAGTTGGGCTGCTTGTTTTGGCTAATTTTTATTGCGTTTCATCATAGTTGGGCTACATTACTTGGCCAGCTTTTGGATTGGTTTATTAACATAAGTTTGGTGATTGTTGGGGTGCATTATTTGGGCTGATTTTTTTGGCATAATTTAGGTGATTATTTAAATTTGTTGATTAATTTTATTGTGGGTTGAAATTTTTTCTTTGTGTAACGTGACAAAGTGCAATTTTATATAAAAATGTGAAGGTGTCTTGGATTTTGGTGATTTTGGTTGCTTGGGTGTTGAGCTAGTGTCTTGGATTCTTGGAGGATCATCCTTGTGTGTGGTTTTGGATTCTCAGAGCACAATCATCTTGGGTTTTTTGCTGTACGCTGTTTTGTAGGATTTCTTCCAACTACAGCATCTTGGTTAGCGGTGTATTGCTGGAATCTTGGCTGGTGTATTGGCGTTAGAGCTTTTGTTTGGAACACGAATTATGTGTTCGACTAAGTTCTCCCGACATATAGAGCTCATTGTGTGTTGGCACACTTTGTGAAATTCTTCTTGGGGGTGTGAGCTCTCTAGTATGTTCTTTCAGGTGGATTTCCTGTGGTGGTCTACTTTGACAATTTTTATTATTTTTTTTTTTTGTCAACATATGACACTCTAGTGCTTCAAGTGTGGTGCAAGCATTCGGTGTTTTGAGGACGATTTGTTAGCATCATCAATTTCTAGTCGGACATTGATTCTTTGTTGGGAATCATGTCGATTTTTGAATGTGTTCTTGTGTTTGAAGTTGAGCAAGGTTGAGTTTTTGGTTTTAAGGTTCTACAAAAATGATGACTAGACAGCGTAATTAGTTCGAGATTGAAGCATCAATTTCAGGGGGGATGTCAATGAGATTGGAAAAGATTATGAAAATATCAAATATTCCGGCTATATTATAATTATATTGTACCATATATAGTTAGATTGCTTTTACTATATTTAATTTGATTTGGTTCTATTTAATGAGAGAACCTCTCACATTGAGAGATATCGAGTCTTATTCAGTTTCTTTGACAAACTGTGATTTTAAAGGTATTTAACTTGCTTTCTTTATTGTCTATGTGGTTTTTTTTTTATCATCCCTCCTCTTCTTTTAAAACCACTAAATGAGTATTTAAGACACTCAAGCATACATGTCAAAAACCCCTCTTTGATTGTGAATAATTCTTGGCTTAGATTGTTGTCAGATTACAAGATCAGTTATTGGTTCTAGTCCTCATGTATGCAGAATATGTGACCCCAAATTTCGATGTTTGTTCGTGTTTCGGTTGAAAAAGAAGTTGAGGAATCAAAGTTGACCTAGTGAACTGGTTGTGGCTAGCAGTTATGAATTTCCTGTGCCGGTTGTGTGAAAGTAGTAGATTGGGAGCTGGGCTAGGCTACCTCGAATGGCATGAGCCACATGTGGGGAGACCTGCACGTATGGTTTTTAGGGGGATCTAGTCGAAAGACCGGCTTATTTTTATAGATCTAAGCAAGATGGGCGTGGTGATATGATAGGGGTCTTTGAAAGGGAGAAATAACTTAAGAAGCTTAAGGGGCTAGCTAAATACGACTACAGGCATCTAAGATTTTGGGTTGGGGGGATAAGGGAGTGAGTGCAAGACCTTGAAATGTGGTTCTTAGTCCCATAGGTCTAGAGCACGATCACGACTTCCATGGGGATGGTGCTTATAAAGTTATAGATCTAAAGTCTGTAAAAGTATAGGCATATCTTATATGGAATGTTTTGAAGGCAATGGGCGAGGAAGGGTAGCATAGCTAGGAAGGAGACTGTCAGCAAGTAGCAAAGACATCTACGGATCCAACTGGGTCAGGTCGAGAATGTGTCGAAATGGTGCTTGCATTGTGTTTGATGCCTGACCTTAGGGACCATTCTCACTTGAAAAAATCGCTCGCTAGCCGGCTTGGGTTTAAGGCCCGTTCCTCTACTGTCGTTCTTGGAATTTCCTCGATCTTCTCTTTGGCAGGTTGGTCCATAACTCTTGTGATTCCTTCCAAAACTAGTTTTTCTCTTTTGGTATGATATTTCTTGTGGTAAGGGTTCTTCTTTAGCAATTAAGCCTCCTTAATAAGAATGTAATTCCAAAGAAAAAGATGAGAAGGAAGACTTTTAGTTGTTGAATGCAAGCTTTGAGCAGCGACTGGGTGCTTAGAGTGCCCAAATGGGCGCCTAGGCGCCAAGAAACAAATTTTTGGACCGAAAGTGAAGCTGTCGCTCGCTTAGCACCTGGCTACCGCTCGAGCACTGCGCATTGGTTGCCTGGTGCGAGGTTACTATTCGAGCGACACCGTTATTTGAAAAAAATTGTTTTTGTTTTTATGGCTTGTTTTTAACCTTCTTTCTATCTAAAATATATTCTTTTGGATCCTATATATACTTCACGAATTGTATGGCTTTTATATGACTTTGTATGAGTTTCAGAGAATAAGACAATATTATAAACACAATATTCTTTGTGTTCTTTCTCCATTATTAATGAATTCTTTATTTCTCTGTCAAAGTTTGTGTTGTGATCGCTATTTCATATTGTGCCATATAATCTCTTTCCTTAATTTATAACAAGTGGTATCAGATACTAAGTTTTATTTTCCTCGAGGTTTTTTGGTTCTTGTGATGGCAATCATGAAGTATGATATTTCGCTTACAATTGCAGTAGTAGATTCTTGTTGTGACAAGTGAAGATGCAAGCAGTGCTTGCTCAGATGGACTTGGACGACGATTTGTTGGGATTTGATAGGATGCCCTAAATTGGTTAATGGAGGGAAACAACGTAAGGATTGAAAGGTCTTGTCACAAATTCATCATCTTTCGAATCATATTCTTCAAGACGTTTTGAAGAAGAAAATTGCAGCTGCATTATGGTTGAAGTTGGAGCAATTGTGCATAACTAAAAGCCTAACCAGCATCTGAAACAACGTCTGTATTCTCATTGCATGACGGAGGGTACATCACTTGAAGAACAACTTGCTGTCTTTAAAGAAATTGTCATTGTTTTATAAACTTGGAGGTTAAGTGTGATGAAGAGTATTTGTGTTTGATTTTGTTATGTTCATTGCCCTCTTCACCATTGAAGATGTATATGATGCTTTGTTTTTAAAAGAGAAGATAAAGCGTCCTGTGTGATCTGAGGTTCATGGAGAAGGCCTTGTTCATGGTGGTTATGAGAAGGACAGTTCAAAATCTAACTTTCAGTAATAAAATTTGCAACTATTGCAAGAAAAAGGGGTACATAAAGAAGGATTGTTGTAAGTTGTAGGATAGAGAAAAATTGGTTGCAATTGAGAAGTGAAAGCAACTAGAAACTTCAGGTGAAGCTGACGTCGTAGAAAATTGCTACATTTGTGGTGAACTTTTGGTTATTTCTGACGATGACTCCCTATGTGACGGAGATTGGAATCTTGATATAGTTTGCACTTTTTACGTGTCTCAATCGAGATTTGTTTTTAACATATGAAATAGTTTCAAAAGGTGTCGTAGTAATAGGTAATAATGAATCTTGTAAAATAGCGAGTATTGGAAGGGTCAGAATTAAGATGTTTGATGGGATGGTCATAGACTTGAGACAATAAGATGAGAAATGTTACAGATTTGAAGAGAAATCTTATTTCCTTAAGTACTTTTGATTTAAAAAGGTACAAGTACACTGGTGAGAGTGGAGTCTTGAAAGTTACTAATGGTGCTCGTGTTGTGTTGAAGGGGCATCAAAGGTTCTAGTTGTATGTCTTGCGAGGTTCTTCAGAATTATTGGAGACCAATAAATAGAAATTAAGAACTTTGGTGGATATTCAGTTTGGTACAATATCGTTGGAGTTTGGTTTGGGATCTGTACTGTAGGATACATCTTAGTCGAGTTCAGAAGTTATGGGTAATGCCACCATCACCAGCAGTGCCATCGTATTTGATTGATAGTTATGGACCCCGAAAGAGAGCCTCTATAAAGGTACGAGAAAGCTGATTTAGTGGTATATGGTCCAAGTGTGGTTGAAGGTATCGAGTCTAGTAAGGAACCTTCAACTGAGGCAATTTGTTGTGTTGTTTCTGTTACAAGGTCTTACTGCCTCGTTTGTTAAATATTGTTGAATTATTTGTGATTGTGCTACTCGTGGTGTAATTCAAGCAACTTTAGTACCCGAGATAATTTTGCCGAGCAGTGATTGGATTCAGTTGATTTAGTTTGTCCTAGTTGGACCTTGTGGATGAGGAGGTGAATTTTTTAGTTGGAGAGTCATTAGTTTATTTCTTGCAGTCGAATTTGTCTTCAGGTGGAGAAATTTTGAAATTGTGTTTGTTGTAGTGGAATTGGTGTCAAGTTTGAGATTTGTTGAATATGAAATTTCGATGTTGGTTTGTGTTTCGGTTGAAAAAAGAGTTAAAGAGGAGTCAAAGTTGACAGTTGAAAGTTTAGAGCAACAATTGGGCACTTGGGCACCAAGAAATGGATTTTGGGACCTAAAGTCAGCACCTGAGCTGCCATTCGCAGCGTAGGGCTGCCACTCGCTTGGCACGAGGCTGCTGCTAGCCTAGGGCGAGGCTGCCACTCTCTATTTAAAAAAGTTTTGTTTTCATTTTTCTGGCTCGCTTGTTATCTTATTTCCGTCTAAAGCATATTCTTTTGGGTCTTATATATACTCCACGAGTTTTATGGCTTTTATGTGACTTTGTGTGAGTTTTAGAGAGTTAGACAATATTGTAAATATAATATTCTTTGTATTATTTCTCCATTATTAGTGAATTCTTCATTCCTCTACCAAAATTTTGTATTGTGATTGCTATTTAATATTGTGCCATGTAATCTTGTTCTTTAATTCCTAACAATGTATTTAACACACGAGGAAATTATATCAAGAATTTTTTGGTGACAACTGGTCTAGTTTGTTTCTTATGGTTTCTTTTTTTGTTGATTTGTCAGGGTTCGTTTCCACTATGGCCATCCGGATGTGTTTGATAGATTGTTTCACTTGACAAGAGGTGGTGTCAGCAAAGCTTCTAAAATTATCAACTTAAGCGAGGACATATTTGCAGGCATCATCATATTCTTACAACAACTCTGATCTAATGTACAGTAGACTTAGGGATTATCTGTTCTCATGCATCTCTTTATTCTGTGAAGGTTTCAATTCCACACTACGTGGAGGAAATGTTACTCATCACGAATACATACAAGTGGGTAAAGGGAGGGATGTGGGCCTCAACCAAATCTCGCTTTTTGAGGCAAAGATAGCTTGTGGGAATGGAGAGCAAACAGTGAGTCGTGATGTTTATAGGCTTGGGCACCGTTTTGACTTTTTCCGTATGCTGTCGTGTTATTTCACGACAGTGGGCTTCTATTTTAGTACCTTGGTACTGTTCAAACCATGTTTCATTTACTTAGCCCTTGTTTGAGCCCCATTTTGAGGGGGAAATTTTTTTTTTTTTGAATAGTGTATTGATGGGAAATGTGTTGTTAAAAAAGAAGAAAAGGTTTTGGATTTGTATGTAATATTATTTTATTGAAGAATGTGTTGTTGAAATGATGTCAAAAACACTGTTGAAAAATGCATTTTTTCTAAAGAATGGGCTCAAACAAGGGCTTAATAATGTTATCTGCTCAAAAATGTATCTAAACAACCGTTTTGTTTTGGCAGCTTACAGTGCTAACGGTATATGTGTTTCTATATGGTCGTCTGTATCTGGTTCTCAGTGGACTGGAAAAAGGTTTGAGTAACCATCCTGCAATCCGAGACAATAAGCCTCTTCAAGTTGCTCTTGCTTCACAGTCTTTTGTTCAAATTGGACTCTTGATGGCTTTGCCTATGATGATGGAGATAGGCCTCGAAAGGGGTTTCCGTACTGCACTAACTGATTTTGTTCTGATGCAACTACAACTTGCTCCTGTATTTTTCACTTTTTCTCTTGGAACAAGGACACATTATTATGGTAGAACCTTGCTTCATGGGGGCGCACAATATCGAGGTACAGGTAGAGGCTTTGTTGTGTTTCATGCAAAGTTTGCTGACAACTATCGGTTGTACTCCCGGAGCCATTTTATCAAGGGAATTGAACTGATGATTTTACTACTTGTATACCATATATTTGGTACTGCATATAAAGGTCTTCTGGCTTATGTATTCATAACTGTATCAATATGGTTCCTGGTGGGTACATGGCTTTTTGCTCCTTTTCTCTTCAATCCATCTGGATTTGAGTGGCAGAAAATTGTAGATGACTGGACGGACTGGAACAAATGGATGAATAATCGTGGAGGCATTGGTGTGCCTCCGGATAAGAGTTGGGAATCTTGGTGGGAGAAAGAACAAGTACATCTTAATTTTTCTGGGAATCGTGGTGTTATTTTTGAGATATTATTATCCGTGCGGTTTTTTCTATATCAGTACGGGCTAATATATCACCTAAGCTTCACCAAGAGAAACAAGAGTATTCTGGTACGATGTTATTACAATTTCACGTATTTGAAGATCGTTGAGTAGTTTAAAAGGCTGCTGCTACAATAACATTATTTTGCTTCTTTTACAGGTTTATGGTCTTTCATGGCTCGTGATCTTTGCGATCTTGCTAGTGGTGAAGGTAAGCTGCTATATTACTTTTGTCGAATGTATCTTTAGTTGAGTTCCTTGTCAGTTTTTGAGAACCCACCCCTTTATCTTGCCATGAAAGGTCATTAAAGTGGTAGATAAAACTGGATCTCAAGGTTTGAGATAAAACTCTCTCATTTTTAAGTGGTGAATGCCTTTTCTAGGCTGAAAAAAATATTCATTGTTTTTCATTCATAAAAGCCCTGAATATTTTGCAGGCTGTTTCGCTCGGAAGGAAGAGATTCAGTGCTGATCTTCAGATTGTGTTTCGATTGATTAAAGGCCTCATATTTCTTTCATTCGTCGCAGTATTAATTACCTTAATAGCTGTACTTGACATGACATTCGTGGACATTATAGTTTGTATTCTCGCATTCATGCCCACAGGATGGGGATTACTTTCGGTAAGTGAATTCTTACTCTCGTTCGGCTTCTTTGCTGTCCTTTGCGTCAATCCCAATGTCCACACTTTGTGCATATTTACTTGCTGATTATTTTATAATCACTTCTGGTCAAACATATTTTTATTCATACATGTCATATGTTTCTCAGGATCCACAACTTATAGACATCAACTAACATGCACTCAGAAGCGAAATGTTTTTCTTCCATCATTTTAACCAATTTGTTGTTGGTTCTGAGTTTCTCACCCGACACTCTTTTCCATTCAACAGATTGCACAAGCTCTAAAGCCTTTAGTTGTGCGTGCTGGAATCTGGGGATCGGTTCGAACGCTTGCACGTAGTTATGAAATCGTGATTGGAATGCTATTATTCACTCCTGTTGCATTCTTGGCATGGTTTCCTTTTGTTTCCGAGTTCCAAACTCGGATGTTGTTCAACCAAGCATTTAGCAGAGGTCTACAGATTTCTCGTATTCTCGGTGGACCAAAGAAGGATCGCTCCGCTGGCAACACATAGTCCTAACATTCAGGTTAAAAACGCTTGTGGCTGTATATACTTAAACATTGATGGCTTCTGTTTGTCTCAGCTTGTGAACATGCATATCTATAGGTTCTTACATAAATTATAATCACAAATGATACTGGTATTGTAAATTATTCAAATCTGCATGCTTGCATGTTTTTGCAGTTTTACGAGTTTCGTTGTAGATATGTACTGATCGTTTTTTAAGAAAGACGAACGGTCCCTTCTAAATAGTTTATAGTTATATATTTATATTTATTCGGAACTGTTTCGATTCATGAATTGTGATTGAGTAATACTACTTGTGTTTGCTAATGTACTTATCCATGTGAGATTGTTGTTATTTTTAAGTTGTTTAGACTAATAGAATGGGTTGAATAAATTATTGGATAAAGTTGTTAAAAAGTTGAAACTAAATTCACAAATTGAAATCGTGATCACTTAACCAATTGAAAAGATAGTGATATTGGATAGCGTTGACAACTGCTCATAATAATCAGCAAAAACAAGACACTATAATTATGCTTGGCCGTGGATCCCCCATGTGCACTCTACAACTATGTTGGGCCATTGATCACCATGGGTACTCTATAGCTGTGCTGGGCCGTTGATCCCCATGAGACTACTCACACAGCCAACCTAACGCTTAGCCCAAAAATCACCAATAAATTGGATGAAAATCGCTTAACGATTGTCAAGGACGCAACCATTGGATAGTTGGAGGCTCCCCACTTAGAACATGGGGTCATGAAAGAGGTACGTGTGACACGTAATGTGGCACGGTAACCGACTAGCTTTCATGTGGCTTCATGTACTTATAAATATACCCAAGGAGAAATAGGTATCTTATAGAAGAAATTTGACTCTCTGAATATATTCTTTGCTTTTTCTCATTCAATACTAATATATATATATATATATATATATATATATATATATATATAGTAATGGTTGGAGGTAAAATTGGGGAGTAAGCTCCGTCCTCATTTTTCTGGTAACATTTGTTTATTCGAATAGCAAGAATACATTGTGCCGCTAGGAGGGCACGGGGATATTGTTTCATGACTACTTCAGTTAGTTTGGACATGATTCAGTGTTGGAATGTTTGTTTAATTTTTATTTATTTTTTCTTTTGACGGACGGACAAAATTTAGGGATTGAATTGGAGTGTTTTTTCTTTTTTGACTGACCGTAGTTTTCTTTCAAAAACTCATAAATACATATCTAATTATGATTATATATTTTCAAAACTTACTTTTAAATCTCATAGAATCCTACTAATTAACACTACTCTAATTAGATCTCCAACCCCTAAACATTAGCTACATGACTCACCGTTGCTTGTAACGCTAGACCACAACACACCATGGTGATGAACTACTACCATCACAAACATCGTCTCACTGACATCAAAAACATCGATTTTTGGTTCGTAGTGATAGTGAAGTTTGATTTTTATAGTGGCTTTGGTTGTGGGTTATGTGTTTCTAATGTGAAGATGGTCGTGTGACGAATGAATGCTTGTTGTGGTCGTGTTCGAAAGTCATTAACGAGGTGATTAGAGGTGGCAATTCTTGTTCTGGTGGCGGATTGAGGTGGTACTAAAGAAACACATTTTACTAACTGACAACTAATTAATATGAAAATCAAACTAGCCAACAATTTGTAATTTTCTCAAATTGTTGTCTTTGTTGAAATGTTAATAATTGTAATATTTTGCCTCTATTTGCTATAAATAAGTTTACTTTTAAATTCATTTTCAATCACACATTCTCATTATAAAATAATCTTGCATATGGATCCATAACTTTAACTCTACTGCACATTCTCCAAATAAATAATTGTTCAAAGAACTTATTCTAATAAATTCTACATCAATTGGGCCATTAAATCTCATTTTATGACTAGCATAGTTGTTATGAGATGCATTACACTTGCTAGAGATTTTAGGGTTTGTTTGTGCCCCACTTTTTTGGAAAATGAATTTTACAATCTTAATTTTTTGATGGATGTGTGATTGAAAAGTACATAATGTAGTTTTGAATTTACGTGTAAACTTATTTTATTGAAAAAAATGTATAATTGAAAATGAATTTGAAAAAAAAAATGAATTTACAAAAAAATGGGCCTCAAGCAAGAGCTTAATGTCTTCAACAAGCAAGTTAGTGATGGTTTGCATCCTCTATACGTATAGCCCTTTTTAATTTTGATAAGTATCAAATTTTTAATAAATTCTAATAAAAATTTGATTTTAAAATTGATAAAGTTGTGAATCTCATCAACTATGTTATTAAATTAATATATTAATTGATAACATGAACTTAAATTTTTATTAACTCTTTTAGCTAAACCAAATATCACATAGTTTGTTATCATATTTTTATGTGCAAGTAAAATGTCTTTTTACAGGGGTGTTATCAACTAAGATTTTGATGAATTTTAAATGATTATAAATTCTAATGAATTTGGTGGATTTAAATAGATTCTTACAAATTTCATAAGAATCTCATCAAATATGGTGAAATTTCAAAATATTTACTTATATGTATTTTAAGGTTGAAATCCAACCAAATCTTTTAAAATCCTTTTATTAATGAAATCCTTATAAATTCACTAATTATTGAGAATACTTAAATTTTAAAGGATTTTATTAAAATTTCAGTTGGGGACACCTAAATTTTAATGAATTTAATTAAAATTCAATAAAATCTCAATTGAAGATACCTAAATTTTGAGTGACTTTTAAAATTCATTACAATCTCAATTGAGGACATCCCCTTTAATCTACATATTTTGTGTCTGGTTGAAAATAAAAATAAAAAAAATCTTATAATTGGATAAAGATAATCCTTAACCTTCAAGAGTATCCAACTCACACACAAACACACAAGCGGAAAGGAAATAATTTTGAAGTACTCTTTTTTTAAAAAAAAAAAAAATTCAGAAAAAGCAACAAAGAAAGTCTCCCAACGGCAAACACCTATAACCTAACCGACCCGATAGCAGGGACGGACCCCCCCCCCCCCCCCCAAACAAATTTTTTTATTTTTTAAAAAAAAAAAGAAAAAAACCAGTTTTTTTTGTGCAATTATTTTTCTTTTTCTTTTCAGGGCACCCGATTTAAAATTTTTTATCCAGATCTTAGATCCAATCCTGGATCTGTTCTTGCCAGATAACAATTAACATCGTACAAAATCAAACACAACAAAAAAAATACCATGTTACACCCAAACTAGAATTACGCAATTGGATGAGAATATAGTTTAAGGACATAATGACATATTTAAAAATAGTAACACACTGGTTCATTGGAAAAAAAATAAAATAAATAAATAATCCCACCAAAACATGCAACAAATACAACGGAAAAAAATAAAAAATAAAAAATAAAAATAAAGAAAAGATGAGCTATAATGAGAAAAATGCAAATTAAATGTGTTTCAATTAACAACCGATGTCTAGACAAGAAATGTGCTTTATGAATTTAGAAAACCCCGTAATACAACGTTTTCCAAGAAACATAATTAAAACATTCAAAGTAATTCCCAAATAGGCTCTAATTTATCAGCAATACATGTATAGCAATGAACTCTCAAGTTGCTATACATGACATAGATTTGCTTGTTTTAACATGTTCATTTGATTTAATCTTAGGAACTATACAAATTTTACGGCGCATGCTATACTGACGTCAATCCAATAAGTCGGTACCAAGGACAACAATCTGTGTGTTACCTTCTAATTTTTTTGGGAGTACAACAGTTACTATCTTAACTGTTTGGAGGCTGGATTTTGACAGGGTGATATGCCCTAGAATGCACTTCACTGCTGAATATTTCTCTAAAATAATCTGCAATGACAGTTACCACTGCCCTCGCCCCTAAATGCCAAACACTACTGGAATTTCTGACCTTTGATAAATTATTTTTGTTTTCCGTCTAACTGACACTTTGGCGTGGAAGTATTTTGTTCTCATGTCACCTGCTTTTATCCGTTTCGCCCTCGATCGTTGATGCCAATACAAATTCGCTATTTCTGAAGAAAGTTATATCTCCTGCTTCAACTTCGTAATAGCCTCCAACTGGTTAGAACACACTGAACTATTTTACAAGGCCTTCACTCTCTTTTTTCTTACAGTTTTGGATGCCACTTACCAATTTTGAAGTTGTTGTATACGGGTTTCTTGTTTTAAGATGTTCATTTAATCTTCGGAGCTATACAAAATTTTACGGTGTATGTAATATTGACGTCGATCCAATAAGTCGATACCAAGGACACTATACTTGTGTTACTCTTTTAATTTTCTTTGGAGCACATAGTTTCCTAATTCCGAACATAAAATTCATGGACTTTTTGAATGATTTTAAAATATAAATAAACATTAGATTTCATCCACATTCATCAAAGAATTAATTTAATCGGTGGATATATTAGAAACATCAACCATATGATCTGCGGAGTAGATGACAAGTGCTTCTCAGCGATTTCACTTAGTCCACCAAATTAAAATGCTAGCCATTGCAACTTGTACTGGTTAAAAGGAATAGTTTCCCATAATTCATTTTCAGTCATATGGCTTCAAATACAATAATAACCTATGCTTGGATCTGACTAGGGATCATGTATTGACTTCTTGAAGCCACATGTTTTCTTGGCTTTGTTGTTATTTGGTACCGTATGTCGGTTCCTTATAAAGGAATGTCCCATTTGTAAAGGAATTGTCAGATATAGTTCGGTAACCCCTATTTCTAGTACCTGAATCCTTTAGCTGAGGTTGCTATTGGAATACATCTTGACGATACGTCGACGACCTAAAGTACCTAGAGTAGAGAGGTTGGCATCAGCACCTTATGTTGTGTCCAAGGATCTGCAATGATTTACAGCTCCTTTAAACTTGAACTGGCAGTTTTGCCTTCAACACTAGATGCTTAGCAGTTAATTTCTAGATTTCAAAATTTACCGTGTTGAGTTTTTGATACCCAATAAATCTCGGGCTATAATGTTAACGTGGATTAATATTATTTCATAGGTATAGGCCGATGAATGAAATAAATCTAACAACTAAGTCCATGAGCTAGACCCGACCCAATTATATTTCTTTATGGATGACTTGAATCTTGGCCCGTTTACCCCTTTAATGGCCCAACTTAAAGTCTAACCCCAGAGTATATATTTGGCTATAACCCTAACCACTTTCTAATGATGATTGTGTGATTTTGAGAGAAAAAAAA